TTGAACAGCATATCCTGTCCCATGCTCTACTCATCCCAAACTGGTCCCGACCTCTCAGTAATCTCGGCATTCATGTCTTCAAGACTCACAACGGATGCCTGCCAGGCAATGGAGGTGGAGTAGTATCGAGAAAAGCACCGTTGCCTAGACTTCCTCAACTTATGCCTAGAGAATGTGTTCGTCCACCGCGAGCTGTATTCGTCCTGATAGCGGATAGTAAAGTAGAATTTCAGAGCAAGGTGCACAAATGGCAGGAAGTAGTGGCGAAGGATGGGCTCCGAATGAATGTTCAAGAAGACCAAGTTTCTGAATCCTCAGTAGAGGGAACGGAACCATTCGTGGACGACCATGGGAAAACCACAGAAAGAGTGGAGAATTTCCGATACCTCGCCGCTAGTGTTAGTGTGGACCAAGCAATAAAGGCACGGATCAACGCGCATGATGAAGAATGAGTTCTTTGAAATTCTCGTCGATCCAAGGTACTCTAGAACATTCGCAGGAAATTTGTAAGGCCTGCGATGGTGCACAGCAGCGAATGCAGACCCTTGCATAGTAACCACGCAAGGTAGCTACGCTTTGCTTAACATACTGAGGATATATCGGTGATATATCCCTAGCTTCTTGGGATCCGTCTGGAGAGACCGGGTCAAGTGTGGGATGGGTGGCAAGGTCTCACGAAGTACAAAACACACATCAGCTAAGCGGAGCCCCGCCCACAGTGGGCGTGGCGTGCGTCGAAATGAGTGTACTGAAGACCAGATTTCAATTCAGTACAAAACAGCCTCGAAACTGGGGAAAAATGGGTAAGGTGTGCATTGGTAAGTCACATCGAATTATGGAGACCCATAATTCGGTTGGGAGAAAGCCTACAGAGCAGAAAACAAATTGGTGTGGGGAGCAATGTCTAAGGTATTTCCCAGCATACATGACGTGAGCGGAGGCCGCCCACAATGGGCGGAGCGTGTCCTGAAGTAGACAGCGTTTTCTATTAGGTTGATGCATAATTATTGCGGCTTTTTTCGCGCGTTCTTTTCTCGAGAAGATTGGCGTTTGAGTTTCTGTTTTTTCATGAGAATATTCTTCTTTCTTCCATTAACAGAAATGCTTATCGGAAATTGTCCTCATCTTCACCACACATGCTTACTACTTCTATAAATGTTAGAAGGCGGCGGGGCCATTCCGCGATCTCATCAAACTTCTCAGCGAGGGAGCAATTAGCAAAACCCAAGACGAAGGATCGTTCAAGAAGTTTAAAACGCCACATCTACCGAGCGGAGCTCCTACAGACTAGCAATTCAATCAGACGTTGAAAAACTGGCAAACGAACAAATTTTAGGATGAGCTGGATGCGTTGGTGGCCAGTGTTAGAGCGTGGATCGTCTCCGAGAATCGTGTCCCCATAAATTCGATTCTGAAAGATCTTAGAGATTCAGAAAAAGTAGGATGGAGCTCGGAGGAGGAGTGGAGGCCAAATTCCGATGATGGAAAAGGAATGTCCGAAGTGGGCGGAGCTCCGCCGACGAAAATATCCGTAACTTGTTTCCAAGAGCCACCGGAGACACAGGAAAAAGGTGGTAGGGGTGGTGAAGAATGGAGCCCATGGTAGAGCGCAGGACCAGGGAGGGCAGAGTTAATCGCACAAACTTTGTAACTCGGCTTATCCCACACCAGAAGTCTTGAGGATCGAGAAATAATTAGAAGTGCGTCGCGCATTGTACGTGACTACGACTGAAACAACATAATGCATGCTAAGTTCGGGTGCTCACGCGTGTCCAAACAGTCAAGTTCAAAAACACCAAAACTCGTATTGTCGTCAGTGTGTTATATGAGGACGCCAGTATGGGTCTGGAGCTGACGCGACGGTACAAGATTGGGAACGTGGATGTCAGAGAAGTTATACAGAACTGCTTCTATCCAACTGAAGGTGCGGAAACTACGTACAGGGCTCGTACCAGGGTCAAGCGAGGCGTGAGGAAAATTTGGAAATACGACCCCCCCCCCCACCACCCTCCGCCGGAGGCCGAAGTCCATGAAACAACCCTCTTCAAAAGCCGAACTATGAAAAGGTTGAAAAGCTTGTTTAATTCTCCCCCAAAACTGCTCATAAAAAAGCCCTGCTACCCCACCGCCCACAAAAAAATTCGTTTAAGAAGTACAAAAGTGAAAAAGTCAAAGAATAATCATTATTGATGAGTCCTACCAAACGAGCAAACGAGAAACAGACCAGAAAACGACAAACTAGCCACTAAAAATGGCATACCATGACAACATCTGTTCTTTATTTATTTCCTCCACAAGACTTACCAAATTCTAGTACTACACAGATTGTGGTTCTCAATTTGCACGTAGCCCTTCAGTTGAAAGAAGCTTTTTAACCGCCTTCGCCAGCTGTGTGTTGACTGGACTTTGGCGTTGACCGTGGAGCAGCTTATTTACTATTGAAATTTGAACAAATATTCAAATGATTATAACTTTCTTCAAATATGACGAATTTTCAATCTGAAAGCAGATTTGGAAGTTTTGTGAAGAGCTTTTTCTAATCAGTATGAAATTACAAAAAGTTATAAGAAATAACAAATTTAGGTTAATTAACGAGGAAAATTCGAGATGAGCACGAGTTTTTACACTTTCCGAAGCAACAACTTGCTTCATTTTCGTCAAATTCGAAAAGTTAATATGGCAGACAAAACTAGAAGATTTTCTCTACCAAACCGTTGCTAAAGCAGCTCTATACGTCCAGTATTCAAAAAATGGCCACGTTGAGGATTTTTGCAAAATTAACGAGGAAAATTTGTGATGAGTGCGAGTTTTTTTACTTCCTAAAGCCATAACTCCGTTCAAACTCATCCAATCGAAAAGTAAATACGCCATCATAAACTAGAAGATTTGCTCTATCAAATGCTTACTAGAACTGCTCCAAACGTCCAGTATTAAAAAAACGGCTACGTTGAGGATTTTTGCACGAGTACCGCCGAAAGGTACTTTTTCGCTACATTGGCACTATTTCAACGGCTGTATATCCTTTTAAGGGCGATTATGTACTAAAGTAAGAGCAGATTTGGAAATCACTGCTTTTCTCTTTCTAAGAAAAGTGATTGATTCAGCGTTTCTCAACTTTAAAGGTTACATGTTTATAAATTTAACCCTGAAGAGTCCGTTAACGCAGTGTTGAATGGTGTACACCTCCCTGTAAATGCGCACGGACACTTTCAGAATTCTCTCGATTGTTCCTGAATTGAGGTTGTTTGTCCAAGGAGCCGTAGTTGAAGCGCGCGCAACAACTAGACCCTTTCTCGGATGCGCCGTGTACCTCACATCCCTTCAGATTCGGGGTCTTACTTGAAAGATGAAATATCTCTTGGAAAGCGTGCGAAATTCAGATTCTTTAACTTGTGTGGTGATAAAACACTGAAGTAACTAAGAATTACCGGACGCCTCAGAATCACGAAAATTTTGTGTGGGTGAAATA